TCTTGTTATAAGGCATTTTGTGTCTCTAACTTGAGTTTGTAGGAGACACAGTACATCTAATTAGAGACCATCTTACAATTTACTTCTCCAATAGATTAAGCTGAATTTAGGAGGTTGAAAATCTCTTGAACTTGGCCTGCAATGGATTGTTTCTGAGACTTCAATTATTTATGTCTAGTGATTACCTATTATGTCATTAAGTTCCAAGGCTATTTTGTTCTGAAATTTTTGAGATATCCATTTAAATTATTACACTTTTGGGACGATGATAAAAATAACATGAGCTAATTTTCTTACTTCATTCCCAAATGACAGATTAACTCTGTGACTGCCATCTCAAAGTTCATTAGCCAACCTTCAAAAGATGATCCTTCTTCTTCTGGCGCATCCTTGTCGGGCTGGAGTTGGATTAATGAACCTGTAGGCATTTCAAGTCAGAGTGCATTCACGAAAACTGGGTTACTGGAGCAGATTAATACTACTGCAGATAAAAGTGACTACATGTGGTATTCAATAAGGTATAAAATTTGCTGCATATGCAATTGGTATTGATGTGTAGTGTTGCTAATATTTTTTATTTATTTTCCAGCATTGAAATGAATGGGAACGAGCATATCCTTAAAGAGGGATCTGGGACAGTACTTCACATTGATTCTCTTGGACACACGCTGTATGCTTTTATCAACGGAAAGCTCATAGGTAATGTGAAACAGGTGTCTCAAACAGGATCTGTCAGAGATATTTTTTCTCCTTTTTGAACTTGCAATGCCATCTATCAGCCTACGTGTGAGTTTCATTTGTCTGTAGTTCGTACTCATTTGTACATTGCTTTTTACCTCGTGGCTTAAGAATTATCCAAAGCATGAGGATCTTGTCAGTTACCAATCTCATTAGATTAACCATGATATTTAGCGGAAAACAAGAAAGATCTAATTCATATCAAGCAACTAGTCCACAACGTATCCCCTTCCTCTGGTTTTCATGAGTTTGATTTTATACCTGGTCGGGGAATCCAACCTCCCATCTGCCTTTCTTGGTGGAGCCTAAAACCTACTGAAACTGTGTTGCTGCTTTGCTGAAAAAAAAAAAAGAAAAGAAAAAAAAAGAACCAGTCCACAACATAGTTTAGAATGTAAGTGTGTAATTGCTGAAGTTAATTTTTACTTGTCTATCAGGTGCTAAGTTTATTACTTTTTATTATAAAATAATGTTCATATCAATGAAGTCCATCTATTAATTAAAAAAAACTGAAATTCTCATTCTCTTTTGGTGGCGTATCTTTTGTTTGCAGAGTTTAATTGATGTAGCTGAGGTTTATAGTCCATTTATTTGAGGAGAGTGAATCAAGCAATGTCTATCTGCTTCCTTTAAACTTCCCATGCCTCTAATTATATTGCTCGGACTTCACACAAGTTTGCGTTTGTTAACTTAAACATTGACTATTATGTAGGGAGTGGAAAAGGGAGCAATGGAAACCGTAAAGTTTCGATAGAGGTTCCCGTCACCCTCATTAAAGGATCAAACAAAATTGATCTCTTGAGTTTGACAGTGGGGCTGCAGGTAAACTTCTCCAAACAACTTTTTCATCATCATCATCATCATCATCATTATTTTTTTTTAAATCTTAAATCTCTGTAGAAGCATTTTCAAATGCAAGTCTTCTTAATTCAGAACTATGGAGCCTACTTCGATACATTGGGAGCAGGAATTACTGGTCCAGTGCTGTTGAAAGGTTCACAAAATGGATCAACTATTGACCTTTCCTCACGAAAGTGGACGTATCAGGTCATTGGTGTGAATTTTCGCAATTTTTTTGTGTGCATAATTAAGAAATATATTTATCTTGAATGGAAATTCAATTGAACTGCACATACAACGATAACTTATTTGGCTTAAAAGTTAGATCTTGGCTGCAATGAATTTCTCAAGCTTCTTATGATCAACTTTCTAAAGTACATTTGAAAGAAAAAATGTTCTTTCTTTAATGTTCTGTTTTACGTCTTTCCTTCCTCTCATTTTAAAATGTATTAAAGCAGGTTGGCTTAAGAGGTGAAGAGTTAGATCTGTCTAGTGGAAGTACCTCACTTTGGGTTTCACAGCCTGCCTTGCCTACTAATCAACCTTTAATATGGTACAAGGTAACTCCTATGACTTCTCTCTCTGTTCATGATCTACTGTGCATTCGTCGAATCCATCAATAAATTATAGCGACCAAGTTAATATATCCTGATTATTTGTCGTCTTAAATGCTACAAGTTGTTAAGAATAGTTTTAATTTCGTGTTTAGTACTGATGAGGATAAGCAATACTTTGTTTCTGTGTTGATTTAGACTACTTTTGATGCTCCTACTGGAAGTAGTCCAGTTGCTATAGACTTTACGGGTATGGGCAAAGGTCAGGCATGGGTAAATGGACAAAGCATTGGTCGTTATTGGCCAGCCAATAAAGCTTCAAATGGAGGTTGCGTCGACTCCTGCAATTATAGAGGATCTTACAGTTCAAACAAATGCCTGAGGAATTGCGGAAAGCCATCTCAGCGGCTGTAAGTGTTTAAATTTCTAGACTAACATAAAAGTTCCTCTTTTAAGTATCATTACTTATAGGTTTGTATCCATATAATCTTGCAGCTATCACGTACCTCGTTCTTGGCTACAACCCAGTGGTAACGTCCTGGTTTTGTTCGAGGAAACAGGGGGTAATCCAAATCAGATATCTTTTGCAACTAGAGAAGTAGAAAGTCTGTGCTCACGAATATCTGAAAATCACCCACTTCCAGTCGATATGTGGACCTCAGACGAAGAAGCAAGAAAGAAAGCCGGACCAACTCTCTCGTTAGAATGTCCTCATCCAGATCAGGTCATAACTTCTATCAAGTTTGCAAGCTTTGGCACTCCTCGGGGAACATGTGGAAGTTTTAGCCACGGCCAATGCAGCAGCAAACAGGCTCTTCCTGTCATACAAAAGGTAACGAGCTGATTCTTTCAACAAAGTCTAGCGCGTATTTTCGAATTTAAGATTATTTTTGCGCTTTCTTACTCGTTCGCAATTGCATAATTTTTTTCCCAGGCTTGCATTGGATCAAGAAGCTGCAGCATTGGAGTCTCAATCAATAAGTTTGGTGATCCATGTAAAGGGGTTACAAAGAGTTTAGCTGTAGAAGCTTCTTGTGTATGATGTGATCATGTACTGCATTGGCTATTGAGATATTGTTCAAGTAACTAAAAATAAAATGTACACAAAAGGAAATTAATTTTTATGTATGTTCTTCAAGGAGAATAAAAGGTTAATGATTCAACCTTTTTTTCTTAGAACAAATGGGCACCAGACTCAAAAAAATATTTCGATTAAGTCACCAAATATTAGTTAATCCATTAAATAAATTTGTTGGTGTGTTTCAGTGACAATACTTGCTACAATAGAGCAAAAATCAGCCAAATTTAAATTGAAATAATTAAAATATTTAAATAAGCTTTGGAGTCAAAAAATTACATGCGAAATAAGAATTTTTTGCTTATTAATACCTTTTAGGTCAATGATAATTTATCATTAATCTTCTATTAACAAGCATATCTTGCTCCTATGACAAATATCGTCCAAAAATTTTGTTAATATACTTTAAAATGAAAGACAAATATTTAAACATGTGTTTGTTTGTGTTTTATTTTTATGCTTATTTAAAAGCACGACGAACAGTTAAGCCAATGGTCGTTGACATTAAAGTATTAATTCACTTTTCTAGTCAGCCAAAATGAAATGTTAATTTCAACTTACATTCACAAGTATTACTATTTGTCAACTGCAATTCGTGAGATTTATTTTCTTCCAAAATTTCAACGAAATCTTTCAATTTCTTATTTTACTATGTTCAACTCTATGTATTCCTCTATCCGTAGAGTACTTTCTTCTATTGAGCTAGATGTGGACTCGATCCCATCTATGGGGAATTTTTATCTTATATTTACCGGACCTATGAATGGAGATATTCTCGAAACTCACACAGAAAAAAGGAAGTGAGTTAGATTAAAAGTTGTTAAATAATTTACTTGAACACTCCTTTAAGCGTTTTTACTCTATCTAAACATATGAAAATAATCACTAACATAATGTAATGAGATATTGCTATTGCTGATAAGAATGTAAATTATGTAATAATAAAGTTGATGATATAAATATTACAATATCCGTAATTAAAATTTGGTTTCACACGGTGATGTCCATATTAGGATTGTACATCGAGTGGGTCAATCATGATGTTTCAATACTTAAAATTAATTATTACATTTTGTGTATTTCATAAACGAAGTCATTTGGATTCGCATAATTACTGGGATAGATCCCGAATCGTCGATTCTGATTCTACCTATAAAAGTTTTTACTTGTAAAATATGAACTTACGATACAATTGTCTTCTCAATATCTAACAAAAATAAACTGAATAATATGTCACAAAGTACAAATTTCAACAATTTCCTAATCCACTACAATTATGCTGCAAAGTATTCAATATCTAACAAAATATACCACCAAATAATATCTAATACCTAACAAATATAAACACCAAATTACGAACCTAAAGAACAAATAAAAAATTATAAACCAGCAATAAAGTACGAAATTCTACAAGCACTAAAACTAAAAAAATTCATTCTTTTTAAAAAGCATAACGTACCCATGATTTTGATTTAAGAATCAATATTCGATTCCATATTTTATTCCTAATACTTTTTGAAATTAAGACTTCTTCGATAATAAACATTTTCCTTTAAAACAAAATTCTTTAATTTTTATACTAATTTTTAAATACTCATTTACATAATAAAATATTTTATACGTAAATAAAAAAAAAATCTCTATTTTTAAATAATGTATTTTTCAAAAAATTCCAAAATAATGGCCATCAGTCGGGGGATCGGATTCAATTTCAATTAAGATGCCACCCCATGTGGAATATTAGCCGAAGAAAAATATGTGCCAGAAGGAATCGGCTTGATATATTACCTAAAATAACCATAATCACAAACATTATTTCACAAATACCCTCGTCAGCTTCGGGTTCCCAATTAATTAATCAAAAGTACAGCAGCAGCAGCAGCGGCAGCATCAGCAGTTCCCCATTCCCTCATATAAGAACCCTAGCAGCATATCTCTATCGGTCGATCAACATTAATTCCCCCTCTATATCGTCCACGTAATTCTCCGATTTCTGATGAAAAATGATGAACGCCGGGGGCTTTTGCAATTAATTAAATTCACCAAGATTTCTTATTTCTGATTTATTATTATTAATTATTTGTTAGTTAGTTCTTTTCTTCTGGGCCTATAAGAACCAGATCGTTGATTGAATTCTGAATTGGGGCTTACCCCTCGTTTTGTTGGGTTGACCAAGGCAGGTAAAAAACCGATCTTTCTTTGACTTTTTAACTGTTGTCGATGTGCTTGGACTTTTTGGTTAAGTTTGTTTAAATGGATATCTATGACGTCATCCTCCGAGTGTTGTTGATGAAAATCATTTTTATTTTTCATTTTTTTTTAAATTAGCTCATTATTTGAAGCAAAATTTTAAAATAGCTCATTATTTGAGCAATTTGCTTCTGTATTCGACTGTTCTTGTTTTGATTGATTGAATTTATAACTTTTGCTATCTCGACTCTGAATTATTAATATTTGTTGTTCTTTCTTGTTGTATAAAATTGTGGGGGCTAAATGTCAAGGCAGTGGGGGCTTCCAGAAGCCAAAACCTGAGGTCAAGGTGTGCATTGCTTTGGTGCTCTGCTCTGGAAATAATTATTATTAAAACAGAGAGTTCGCTATGTGGGCGTTGAATCACGATAGGATCAATCTGATCAACTGTTTCTTTCATTTCTCTGAATGGCATCCTTTGGAATAGCATAGCTGGTTGGGCCTTTGAAGCCCAGTTGGCAGTTCACCTGACAAAAAAAGGTTATCACTTGTCTTTGCTTTGATTTGGAAATCTTGAAATATAGGAAAATCCGGTTTTCAAACCTTTCTCTAATTGAGATATTGCTAAATAACTTGAATTTTAATTGAATCAGTTCCAATTTCATGCTGCTAGATGTCGCTATAATACTTTTTATTATTGGTTTTGTTGTCAGTTGTTAAACAGAAGTGTTCATTTTAATGCATAGATTTGATTATTGGCTTTTGTTCTTCAGGTTTTGGATCGATATTTTAAATTTTGGGTCTGTTTTGCACAAAGGTTTTCGTATTGTAGTATTTGTCAAGAGAAATTCGTTTGAAAGTGTGACAGAAATGGGCTGCTGTGGGTGTTTTGGGTTCTCATTCATGAGGAAGCCCAAGAAGGTGATGATGCCCGGCAGGGGTTTGGGTAATCACGCCTCACAGGAGTCCTTGTTGGCTGAGGCTGTGGAAGATGAGGAAGGACCTTTTTATAATGGGGATGATTGTGAATTCCGAAGCCCGATTAAACGTTCAGAGGAGATTCTCATGTACAGGATGCAGCATGGATTAATTTGCAGGGAATATCCTGTTAAGGAAACACATAATCTGATTCGCTCCGAGGTAAATTGCAGAATAAATGTTGTTTTATCTTTACATCACTATCACCTGGAAATTTTTTCTCATGAGAAGTATACACCCCTCCTCAATCAAGGAAAAAAGAGAAAAAAAATAAAAAAAATAACTAGTAAAGCGATCAATCAAATGCTCAAGTACATATATACTTTTAGAATCCTGTACTTTTGTTTATTCTTATTTGTGATTAAAAATATATACTCTGTACCCTTATTTGGTCGAACACGAGTTGTTATGTGTTAAATATTGAAAATTTTAATCACGATAGGAAAAATAAAACATCTGAGTGTAAGTTGCTTGCTAGGGGGTGCAACAGTCTGAGGGTAAAGTGGGGGTAGCTGAAGTGTAAGTCTTTTATCAGACGAAGAAGCAAGAAAGAAAGCCGGACCAACTCTCTCGTTAGAATGTCCTCATCCAGATCAGGTCATAACTTCTATCAAGTTCGCAAGCTTTGGCACTCCTCAGGGAACATGTGGAAGTTTTAGCCACGGCCAATGCAGCAGCAAACAGGCTCTTCCTGCCATACAAAAGGTAACGAACTGATTCTTTCAACAAAGTCTAGCGCGTCTTTTCGAATTTAAGATTATTTTTGCGCTTTCTTACTCGTTCGCAATTGCATAATTTTTTTCCCAGGCTTGCATTGGATCAAGAAGCTGCCGCATTGGAGTCTCAATCAATAAGTTTGGTGATCCATGTAAAGGGGTTACAAAGAGTTTAGCTGTAGAAGCTTCTTGTGTATGATGTGATCATGTACTGCATTGGCTATTGAGATATTGTTCAAGTAACTAAAAATAAATTGTACACAAAAGGAAATTAATTTTTATGTATGTTCTTCAAGGAGAATAAAAGGTTAATCATTCAACCTTTTTTTCTTAGAACAAATGGGCACAAGACTCAAAAAAATATTTCGATTAAGTCACCAAATATTAGTTAATCCATTAAATAAATTTGTTGGTGTGTTTCAGTGACAATACTTGCTACAATAGTGCAAAAATCAGCCAAATTTAAATTGAAATAATTAAAATATTTAAATAAGCTTTGGAGTCAAAAAATTACATGCGAAATAAGCATTTTTTGCTTATTAATACCTTTTAGGTCAAGATTGTAATTATAATTTATCATTAATCTTCTATTAACAAGCATATCTTGCTCCTATGACAAATATCGTCCAAAAATTTTGTTAATATACTTTAAAATGAAAGACAAATATTTAATCATGTGTTTGTTTGTGTTTGATTTTTATGCTTATTTAAAAGCACGACGAACAATTAAGCCAATGTTCGTTGACATTAAAGTATTAATTCACTTTTCTAGTCAGCCAAAATGAAATGTTAATTTCAACTTACATTCACAAGTATTACTATTTATCAACCGCAATTCATGAGATTTATTTTCTTCCAAAAAAGTTGTTAAATAATTTACTTGAACACTCCTTTAAGCGTTTTTACTCTATCTAAACATATGAAAATAATCACTAACATAATGTAATGAGATATTGCTGATAAGAATGTAAATTATGTAATAATAAAGTTGATGATATAAATATTACAATATCCGTAATTAAAATTTGGTTTCACATGGTGATGTCCATATTAGGATTGTACATCGAGTGGGTCAATCATGATGTTTCAATACTTAAAATTAATTATTACGTTTTGAGTATTTCATAAACGAAGTCATTTGGATTCGCATAGTTACTGGGATAGATCTTGAATCGTCGATTCTGATTCTACCTATAAAAGTTTTTACTCGTAAAATATGAAATTACGATACAATTGTCTTCTCAATATCTAACAAAAATAAACTGAATAAAATGTCACAAAGTACAAATTTCAACAATTTTTTAATCCACTACAATTATGCTGCAAAGTATTCAATATCTAACAAAATGTACCACCGAATAGTATCTAATACCTAACAAATATAAACACCAAATTACGAACCTAAAGAACAAATAAAAAATTATAAATCAGCAATAAAGTACGAAATTCTACAAGCACTAAAACTAACAAAAAATCATTCTTTTTAAAAAGCATAACGTACCCATGATTTTGATTTAAGAATCAATATTCGATTCTATATTTTATTCCTAATACTTTTTGAAATTAAGACTTCTTCGGTAATAAATATTTTCCTTTAAAATGAAATTCTTTAATTTTTATATTAATTTTTAACTACTTATTTACATAATAAAATATTTTGTACGTAAATCAAAAAAAATTCTCTATTTTTTAATCATGTATTTTTCAAAAAATTCCAAAATAATGGCCATCAGTGGGGGTCGGATTCAATTTCAATTAAGATGCCACGCCATGTGGAATATTAGCCGAAGAAAAATGTGTGCCAGAAGGAATCGGCTTGATATATTACCTAAAATAACCATAATCCACAAACATTATTTCACAAATACCCTCGTCAGCTTCGGGTTCCCAATTAATTAATCAAAAGTACAGCAGCAGCAGCAGCAGCGGCAGCATCAGCAGTTCCCCATTCGCTCATATAAGAACCCTAGCAGAATATTTCTATCGGTCGATCAACATTAATTCCTCCTCTATATCGTCCACGTAATTCTCCGATTTCTGATGAAAAATGATGAACGCCGGGGCCTTTGCAATTAATTAAATTCACCAAGATTTCTTATTTCTGATTTATTATTATTAATTATTTGTTAGTTAGTTCTTTTCTTCTGGGCCTATAAGAACCAGATCGTTGATTGAATTCAGAATTGGGGCTTACCCCTCGTTTTGTTGGGTTGACCAAGGCAGGTAAAAAACCGATCTTTCTTTGACTTTTTAACTGTTGTCGATGTGCTTGGACTTTTTGGTTAAGTTTGTTTAAATGGATATCTATGACGTCATCCTCCGAGTGTTGTTGATGAAAATCATTTTTATTTTTCATTTTTTTTTTAAATTAGCTCATTATTTGAAGCAAAATTTTAAAATAGCTCATTATTTGAGCAATTTGCTTCTGTATTCGACTGTTCTTGTTTTGATTGATTGAATTTATAACTTTTGCTATCTCGACTCTGAATTATTAATATTTGTTGTTCTTTCTTGTTGTATAAAATTGTGGGGGCTAAATGTCAAGGCAGTAGGGGCTTCCAGAAGCCAAAACCTGAGGTCAAGGTGTGCATTGCTTTGGTGCTCTGCTTTGGAAATAATTATTATTAAAACAGAGAGTTCGCTATGTGGGCGTTGAATCACGATAGGATCAATCTGATCAACTGTTTCTTTCATTTCTCTGAATGGCATCCTTTGGAATAGCATAGCTGGTTGGGCCTTTGAAGCCCAGTTGGCAGTTCACCTGACAAAAAAAGGTTATCACTTGTCTTTGCTTTGATTTGGAAATCTTGAAATATAGGAAAATCCGGTTTTCAAACCTTTCTCTAATTGAGATATTGCTAAATAACTTGAATTTTAATTTGGTGTAGACCTCTTTGACCAATGCATAGTTGCATTCCTTTCTTGGTGTTTTCTGGTCATTTTGTGGATGCTGAGGGATCACATGACATATCAGCTCTGTTCGTCTTCCTGAGATTGTTGCAGTAAATGAATTCAAAATTGTTTTAGTGTAAGAAATTGAAATTTCTAGTGACACCTGATAAGTGGCTCAGTACGGTTATTTATGTGGCTTAACCTGTATATGTCTTGCTTCTTTTTACATTTCTGTTAACTAATGTCATGCATTGTTTCTGCAATTAAACAGAATATTGTGCATGGGGATATCAAGCCTGATAATCTTTTAGTTACTGGTAATGGCACAGTTAAGATTGGTGATTTCAGTGTTAGCCAGGTTTTTGAGGTAAGAGATTCCTCTCAAGTAGAACCGTTAGTTTCTGAAGTATATGCATGTTTTCATTATTAGAAAAGGTGCAAAATGGGAAATTGTTTCTGTTTGCCACTGGTTGAGAAAAAAATTAATCTCTAGTTGTTGTATCCGTCTTGCTACTGATGAATGGGCTCCAGTAACAAGGTGCATTTGAACAAAAATGAAATTGGCGGCCAAAACTGAAACTTACTGCTAGTGAATTATTAACAGATTAAGCATCTGAATCTTCAACTAGCTGCAGTGCTAATATATGAGTTGATCAGTGGAAGTTGCTAAATGATAATAACTGAAGCTATTTTAGATTTCTGTAAAACTTTCATGGATTAATCTTCAGCATCTTGCACAAATTCACCTCTATCCTTAATTTTCAACAGAAACGAATTATTTACTCGTTATTGGGAACCTTGTTTATACCATAATTTGAATGCAGATTGGGTCCAAAGACAAATTTCTCGTTCCTTTTTATTTTTCACATGGGATGTTACTTCTGTGTAGATTTTATATTATCATTTGTTGGTAGCAGTGTACCTTAGCCTTTTCCTTTCAGCATGGGTTTTAGAAGTTCTCTTGTATGCTAAAGACAGGGACGAGGATGGGGATGTAGCCCCTTGTTTCATTCGTGTTTCATTTATTATTATTAGCATTTATGTCTTGAAATCAACCTGTGTAAAGACCACCATGTATGATCTTGTCTTGATGATTAGTTACAGAATTAATTTAGAAACAATACAAGGAAAACACATGAACTAGTACGCATTAAATAAATTTTAGAACAGAGCTAAATTTTTGTGGTTAGAATGTTTTTGTGCAGGGATTAATGTAAATGTTTTGTGCTTGACCATTTTTATTAAAACAATGTGTAGGATATAAAGCCTGTAATAAATTCTTTGCTAACTATTTGTCAAATATGAAAAAGGAAAAAAAAAATTATTGATTTCATTTTTGACTCACTGTAGACCATTTCTATTCTGCCTATGTTTGTTGAAGAAAAATTTGACTAGTCTTATTTCAGTCTCATTTCAACTAGGAATTTAAAAAAGCGTTCCTTAGTTGTACTCTATCTTAGATTTGTCCCATTTTGTTTTAATAATTGGGACGAACTGAACAAGATGTCAAAAAACTTACCTTAAAATTTTAGGAATAGGACGAGTATTTTTGTATACCAGTATAACTAGCTTTCTTATAATACAAATTTTTTCACACGGAATTTATATCAATTCTCTTTCTGTAATTAGTTTTTGTTTTGGTTTTCAATAAAATGATTTGTTGCTAACACGAGTTTGGACTATTGAATTCGGAATTACTTTTACCACCTATCCTTGTGAACGTAATACATCTTTGTCAGCGTTGTTTGTGAAGCTTCTTCCCCATAGACTAAGGCCATGTTTGGCTACAGTTTGTAATTTATTTATAAATGGTCAAAGGAATTTTTATCCGCACACTTCATGGACCTACAAGTATTACTCATTTATCCTACTGATTTGTATCAATTTGTAATTTAAACCCTTTATCAACAACTCCATAACATGTTTTAAGTGACGCTCCTACCAGTGTATGAGCATGGACTACCCCTCCACTTATTTTGAATTGATTTTGAGGTGGATGTACGAACATGATATTAGAAGCTGCACTTGGCCGGTATTGGATAAGTCATGGTTGATGCCCTCTTGGATGCATGCTGTGTTAGAGTCTGTCTTCAAATTCCTCCTGCATAAATTAGCATCATGTTTGACATTGACTTTGTAGTGATATATTAGAAGAAATAAATGTGGGGATTCCAACTTCATTTTCATGTGTGATAGCTATTACAGTTTGTATGATTGATTCTCAAGACAAGTTCGCTAATTTAAAGGCTCTTTTAATCAGCAAAATGTTTTGTTAGTATTCTCTTTGAGATTTGTCCATAAGTAGGAACATCTATAATTTGTTCACATCTTTTTTACATGTAGGATGGTAACGACGAACTTCGTCGTTCTCCTGGAACTCCTGTATTTACCGCACCTGAGTGCTGTTTAGGTGAGTTTTCTCTTATGTATAAATCTTGTAACTTTCTATCTACTTATATAACAACTTGACAAAGGGATTTCTTTTACAATTAGGTCTGACCTACCATGGCAAAGCTGCTGACACATGGGCAGTTGGAGTTACATTGTACTGTATGGTTCTTGGGAAGTACCCATTTCTTGGAGAGACTCTACAGGATACATATGACAAGGTTTGTGGATCAGTTTCTTTGCTGTTTTCTGAAATATTTGACTCGGCTTGTGTATTTTTACGTACAATCCATCATTATAGATGTTAGATATGTATTTGTCTCACAATATTTGAGGTCTAGGATATTGGTTTGTGTATATCTAAAATTTGATATTTTCCTTTGCCAGATAGTTAATAACCCACTGTTGCTCCCTGACGAGATGAACCCTCTATTGAAGAATCTAATTGAGGGGCTTCTCTGCAAAGGTCATTTTCTATAATATTTATTACCAAAATATCACCTTTATTTCGTTAATCAGTTATGATTTGCTATTTAGTTGTGCATTAATTTATTTTCTTTGTGCCTCAAATGATTGGTTGTGCAGATCCATTACTAAGGATGACGCTTGAGGATGTTGCACAGCATTCCTGGGTCATTGGAGAAGAAGGACCCATACCTCAGTTCTTGTGTTGGTGCAAGCGTGTCAAACTGCACGGGGCTGAATCTGGTGGGACCGGAACAGATAATCTTGCGTACAATAACTAACAGAAATAATGTACTTGTTTGAGATTGTTTTTGTGTATAGCGCAAAATAGAATATCCTACTTGGAGTAATGAAAACATATATGGTGTACGGTAACTATTAAGCTAGGTGAGGGCTATTAGAATCGAAGAGATGAGAAATTGGGTGGTTTCTGTTAAAGATTAATTGTTGGATTTTCACACTATTAAGAGGAATTCTTGAAACTTCTAGCTGCTTCATTTTGGTAAGCCTTCGCGTGTGGGAGAGGGTATTCTCCATGATGTTAGTCCTGATTTTCTCATGAAGTTTATCGTGTTGAATTGAGCTGAATTGATGGTCTAAAATTGCTCAAGGCTACTTGATTCAGACCTCATTTCTTGGATTCTTTCACCTTTTTAATGCATCAGATGTGGCTAGCCGAAACAAGTGATGGTCATAAACAAGTTACAGTATATAGTTCATGTTGGTTTATCCAAACAAGTCAACTGGTGCAGTTTTAAGGTTGAACATAACTTGGATGAATCCTCTCCTGAGGTCCATCCCAATTGGGACCTTTGTGCTTGAGAGATCGAACGTGCTTAGAGGTAGCTTATCTTTGACATGCACTATAGCATATATGTTTAATATGTTAGATTGTACAAAATTAACTCAATGAAGATTTTATAAAATTTATAAATTCAAGAATCCAGGCTAGATGTAATTCTTGAAAATTTTAGGAAGAAACTTCCGAAAGGAAGAGATGTAGCAAAAGTCGATATTTTACTTTAAAATGAAGTATTATTTTTCCTCGGTAGCCACTCTTTTAAATTGTACAATGACATTTGGACAGCTGAGAATGAGAGAATTACTAAACGTCAATTAGGAGTAGAATAGGTAAACAAATCGACTCTCTTGAAACGTAGTTTCAAATTTCAATCCATAATTAAAACTCAACAAGCCTATTTGGAGAGCTAAAAGGAAGCTGAAGAAAGCCACCTAGGAAAAGTTTCCTTGATTGGTAAATTGTGCTTGGGGCTAGCTAGGGGTGTCAACGAGATGAGCTGAACCAACTCGTGAGTCGAAACTCGAGACTCGGGTTCAGTTTGGACTTTTTTTTGGCCCAAGCCGAATATTTTTTTTTTTTTCATAGCTGCCTCAACAAGCAGCTATGAGAGAGCCATGGGCCGCTCGAACCGACGAAACAAATTTACATCCTTAGGGCTAGCCTTCTGTATCATCTACTTCATGAAACTAATATCCTTGATTGCAGGCAATCTCCCAGTGGGTACATCAAGCGCCAGCCTTGCTTTAGCAGATACTGGGATTATGTTGTATGGCATGATTGCCTCTATCTCAATTGTATGAATGAAAATTGTATTTTCTTTTCCATAGAATTTCACATAGTCAATTTTTTCCAGTAAGTGGGACGTGTCTGACCCGTTTTCGCATTCTTAAATATCCGAAAAAACTAACAGAGTACAATTTTATTGTAGAAGAATCTGATAAAACAATCTTCTTATAGTTTTGTCATGTTGAGCCATGAACTGTAGATTTTTCCTCCTTCCTACTAAATGGGTATAGCATTGATGTTATTATACGTATCATCTGTTGGGAAATTATCGTCATCGGGAAAATTGGAGAAGAAACAACATAGAAGTGATATCAAGAAAATGAAATAAATGTGAAGAACAAATAGAAAATGAAAGACTCAAACACAACATTATATCGTTGTCTTCAAACGATATTTGTCCCCTCTCGATAACAATTTTGGTGTTTAAAGGGTCTCGCGGCAAATAGTTTGTAGGAATAATCAAGCTTTGTAGAGAATTAATACTTAAGCACCTGTATAAATTTTCTAAAATTTGAAGAACACAAAGGGAATATTGAATATGGATGAAGAAAATTTTGATTTCTTCGTGGAATGAAGATAATGATCACAAATATTATCAAGTGGTTTTCTTATGATTTGTTATGTTTTTTACTCACTTTGAAATGATCGCAAGTCACCTATATATAACCATGAACAAGGCTATCTGAAGTGGTGCTAAAATATAAGTGAAAGGCTACCAATTTTAAACCGCAACCACCTCCAACGATCACTTCCTTCTTACCATGCGACCGCATGGTATTTCTCCGTGTGGTCACATGGAGTAACACAAAAGGGCCCTCCAAGTTTCGGGCAGTGGCCATGCGACCGCATGGCCAGATTGCTATGCAGTTTTAGTTTCATTCCACTTCCGTTTCTTGTTTCACTTTCATTCCACACACATGATTCTTTTGATGTTGGACAACAATATACATATCATCATCTATAAGAAATGATGCTAAGAAAAACTAGACTTTCGTGGGGTTGATTCCCTCACGGGAACTCAAGTGTGATAACACGATCCGTGCAAGATTAAAATACCAGATTCCCATAAAAAGTGAAGGCGGCACTGAGAATGAATTTAGGGAATGACTTCTTAGGTGGTTTAGACATGTTTCGCTTGAACCAAAGGAGATTCTTGTTCAAATATAAGAGCGATGCGAACACGATAAAACATGTGAAAAGAGACGTGCACTTGGCTCCACAATTTCTGATTTTTGTTCTTATATGAACTGAGTTCATTTTTTTTCAACAGAAAAGGGAGAATAAATTTTCTTTCCTACTCTCTAGTGATCATTACATCATATGACTACACATATTCCGTCTATATTTGTTCTCGAATTATCAGTAGTTTCATAGTTTCGTAATAAACTGCTGGAGGGAGGAATTGTTATTTTGTCTTAAATGATCCAGAAGTCGCCATTTGTTTCTGTAGTTTCTAGGTGATAATTACCCGACGAATCCACACGGTTCTTTCATGACTAAATAAATTCAATTCGCATAATGTCCTTTGATTCAATTCCATACCAGTCAATCTCTCTATGCATTAAGTAATAACGAAGTTCGACCCTACAATCACCCAGAGGGGGTGAATAGGTGAATAACGCGAAATTAAATTTACCAATTAAAAGCAACGAGTAACTTTTTAATTGTTCTGGATGTTTAGTCAATCAAGTCCATTTTATCCTATGTCGAATTATCACAATAATTAATAAAGCACTAACTAACGCAGGATTTGTTGACGGAGAAAATCTTTTAGAGGATTAAAAACTCCAGGACCAAACCATGATTTCCATTATAGAAAATATGATCCAACCTAGAAAACCTACTAAATTCGCCGATCTAACTCCTGCAATTTTCAAGACCACTGGAACATGCTTCACTCACACATGTTCTTCAATCTTCTAGAATTGTCTATCTCCTGTAGATCACCAAGAACACCTTATTCTTGTACTCTTCCTATGCTTTTGGTCCAATTTCCCTCAATTTTCAAGATTTTAACTTTAGCCTCTAAGTTCTTATTGACTAATCTCAACTCACTAAGTCTTTTAATTGACTCCTGAAGTTCATATATAAGTCTCTCTCTTTCTACCTCAAGTGCATTAATCTTCTTCAGTACGGCTTTATTCACCTTTCTAATCTTAAGACCCTCTTCAAATAATTGATGATAAGCCTCACAAATCTCTTCCTTGGAGTGCTCACTACAATCTACTTCCTCAATCCTCTCACTATCCTTATTTGATTCATTCTTAACTATAGACGCAAATGACATATAGTTCATTTTGTCTTTACTGCTAAAGGAATCATTCTGATCACTTGAATTGGATTCATCATCAGTTAGTGACATTGCCAATGCCCTACCCTTTCTTTTATTCAGATTCTTATAGATAGTGCATTCGTTCCTGTAGTGACCAAAACCCTAACACTCATGACATCTAACTGATTGATATTTCTTACTAGAACTCCTAACATCAGTCTTATCACGCTTGTCTTACTAAAATTTACTAGGACACACTTCTTCCTCTCTTGAGATTTTCTTTTATTCTTGAGAACTCTTTGGAATTTCTTTACAAAATAAGCTATTTCATCATCCCTAAGGGTCTCTATATCAGTAGATTCATACTCTTCTTCCTTAATGGCGTTCAACGCTATAGACTTACTCTTCTTTGGTTGAGATCTGGTGAGTTCATAAGTTTGGAGGGATCCTATAAGTTCCTTTATCTTAATGCATCTAAGTCCTTGCTTTCTTCAATCACAGTAATCTTGGGTTTGAACCTCTTCAATCGTCGATCTAATTCTACTATTTTCAAGACCCGCAGAAACGTGTTTCACTTACACCTATTCCCTGATCTTCTGGAATTGTCCATTTCCCGTGGGTCACCAAGAACACATTATTCCTGTATTCTTTGTCTGCTTCAAGTCTAACCTCCCTCGATATTTAGCAACCTCTAATAGTTATTGAGAAAATACCTTCCTAATTATATTTAGGAAGTGGTGTTTTGGATTATATGATTTTGATGTTTTTCCAACTTGTGGTTGATTGATCTCAAGATATAGAATTGTTGTTTGATCTCCAAAGAATGTTATGAAGGTAGAAAATAATAATCAACCAAAATTTTCAAGAAGTAGGGTTGTGTATTTATAGTAAAAAGGTATTGAGGTAGTATAGAATAGATAGAACTTTTGAAAATCATGAACTATGGTTTCTTGAAAATCATCGTCGATTGAGCGCCAGGCGAGTGATAGATGTGTCACTCGAGCGATAGTTGGGCAACGGACGGGCGATAATGATTCTGTTTTGGACGCTTGAGCATCAGTTTGGCGATAGGCTAGCATAATTTTGACCACTCTTTCTCCATGTTTCATACTCGAACCCAAAGACTCATCTATACAACATCCCAACTGATTCCTTGATTTTTGCAACTCTTTTATAATAATCTTTTTACCTAAGAATAGCAAATACAATTAAAATCTAACACATTACCAATCATGTGGGAAGAACCTTGTCATTGATCCGGTTCAGAATTTCCACAAAACTGTGCAAATTCAACATATGAAATTTGCATTTATGTATCATGTCAAAATCAAGATTACTTACGAAGAATGATATTATCTTGTATGTAGGCAGTGTTGTTATGCTTCGATGCTTGTTTGAAACTAGGAAAGATCATCTGATCATGCCTAAACGAAGTTGTTTCTTCTCCACAAAAATAAAATAATTCTCTTTCTTATTAGTACGCTTACATAACTAGCTTTAGGGATTGTTTGATAAGGCATCTTGTTGGCTTTTGGTTACCCAAAAATCTGTTTCTGTTGCTATTAAAATTCTAATAGCAGCAATTTTTTAGCCATTGGTGGTTGGTTGTTTCATTTGAAATGCTATATGTTGACAATTTGGAATAA